ACGGTGGACGTTCAGATATTAAACAACACGTCATATCAGTGAAACATATGACATAGGAAAAGACGGAATGCCCCAAGTAGATGTCTAGGTTAGGTTTCATAGCTAAAATGAGAATATTTCAATAAATAGTTTCCGGCCCCCTCTTTAGCTGGAAGGTATCCCCCGACCCCCAAACCGTCTATGAAGGTGTCCCGTTTTTTCCAGTTCATGATTTGGTCACCCTAAGTTAGGGGCGCCAAAATGTGCTTCGATTTTCTTTCATTGATGAAAATAAATGGTTTAGGCGTTGAAAAAAGAAAGGGAGGTGCTTAAAAAAGGAATCTTGTCAGCCGGGCGCCAAACACTTAGCTACGCCTCTGGTTCTCTTTACGTTATTTTCTATTTTACTACGTGGCATGATTTAGTTGTCTTGAAACTTAATGTAATTCACGGATCACATAGTTTCTCCCACTGAAGCATTTCTTTTGTACGTTCATGAAAAAAATTATTTAAAAAAAATTTGTTGACTGCACTAACAAGGAAGGTGAGAGAGTAAGAGGAGAAAAATGGCGAAGGAATGATGGGATCTAAATGTAAGCTTTTATTGGCTGCCTACTACTACTTATAATACTACTACTACTGCACTCTGGCTATCTTCATCTTAGATTATTCTTCTAGGTCCATGAGCTTGTTTCCTGCAGCAAATCGCCTCACCCCCGCGCTGCTCGATAACCCAAGGGAACACCATGTGGATAATAGAGCTTTGGCATCAGTGGCGTTGCAGGAGTGGTCGGACTGTTTCATGGCGTCAAAGTTATCCGCCTACGGGACTCCATCTCCAGGTTTGAACTCAGCTTTTTCCATCCACCTGGTTGATGTTTTTGCTTGACTGGGCTTTGGTGGGAATTGAACTCCAGACCACTCGGCCGCCATAGTCCTATTTACACTGGTGAGCATATTTTGTAGCTCGAAGATTAAAATTGGTGCAAGACATTTCATGTTTGATTTTATTGGTGTGGTAAATTAAGCAACCCATTAAAAACAAAGGTTTTCGTATGAATCTTTTTATTCATTTTAAAATTATTTAATATTAATATTCTAATGACCCTCCCGCTTTTATACCGCAGATTTATTTCACCAACTATGTAACAAACAAACAAAAGAAAACGTAACCCACCAAACGCTCTAGATATATTTCTGTAAGAATCCCATTGTAGTTATCGGGAATTTTGTTTCGTGAAATCAGTGTCATCCTATTATCCTATTTCCTTCATCTTCCACCTGAAAAACAAGAGAAACTGACTTTTATGAGGTTCGGAGTGGGGCTGAAAATTTAATAGAGTGTGTTGTCATCGGAAACGAATCTATGCGCCGAGTTTCAGCTGGATAGGTTGACGGGAATCGGGTCAATTAGCCTTCCACACACCCAATCAGAAAGAAAGAAATACACGAACAAACAAATTAAAAATATATATTTTTTTAATAACTAGAGGAACAATGTCATTTTTTTTTGTTGCTTTAAAATACCCGCCACCACATAATATGACAATATGTTCATCTGTTTTATGGCCTCTTTTTTACAAAAAATGTATTCTGAAGTGCACATTTAGAAGAAAACAGCCAAATTTACTCCTTAAAGAACCACATGCAGTCGCCTGTACAAGACAAGAGTTGACACAGGCTTCAGTACGAAGGCTAAAGGCCTACTTAAGTTTTAGGGACATACAACTCTTTGACACAGTTCTCTGTACGGTGCCTACTTGAGTTTTAGGGACATACAAGCAAGGAGTTGAAAACTTTTTCTGAAATCGACTCCTTACCTAACGCTCTACAAACCTCTGAGCCACTGCCAACCCCAACCCTTTCTGCACACCACCACCACCATGTCACGACCCACAGATTGGTAACCGCTGTTCTACGCCAACATGAACCGACCTATGCTCCACTGCAGGACACTCAATGTAGAATAACTTGATCTGCAGACCCTATAAATTCAAAGCCCCACGAAGGCAACTTTAGAAATATTACCTAATCACCTTAATACCCAAGCTGGTATTTACTCAATAACAGACGACATTATCATTGAAATGACTTGTTGCATTCATCCACCAAGTTCAGCCGTTAATCTTTGACCACACTGAATGTGGTGCACTTAACCCTTGGGCTACGTGACGGCATTGAACCGTGACGTTTTCTAGGAGATTCCTGGTTCTTATCGTTAACTTTGCTGCCAAACTTTTTTTTTTTCCAATTCTCGGCGCCCTTGTCCAATCTAGTTTTTTCCGAGGTGTCCTATTATGTCAAATTCTAACAATAACACTACAGAAAGAGACACCATATTTTTTTTTAATTAATTGGCCTACGACTATCATATGGTTTTAAAAATTGAATATAGTTTAAGATTTGTCTCGTTGAATGAAAAATATGAAATAAAGGACTAACACATTCCTCTTGCTGTCCTCTCGGAGATGACTTTTCAGCCAAGTGTTAAGAGCGCCTCAGCGCACAATTTGTGAACCACTCAACTGGCTGGCTTGAAACGTATGCTAAAGAAATACTGCCCCTGTCCATTTTTAAGAGCTTTATACGGCTGATAATCATATGATACTGGCGAAATGTTTAAGAACTATTTAAAAAAAATAAAATAGATAGCTTATAGTACCATCCTGAAACATATTTTATAGAGGGCCAAAAGTACCATGGCAAAACATAAGATTAATTTATAGATAATATATAGTACTATGGCAAAGCATAAGGTTGTTTTTTTTATGGATGGCCTACAGTACCATGCCGAAACATATCTTAAATAAATAAATGCAGCGAACGGTATCAAAGGTTAGAGGATTTACTTAACAAAGCACACAAAAAATGGTGTGTTTACGTCATGGCGCTACCGAGCGTCAGCCAGACAATAATATGTATGTCCCGAGGGCTCATAAAGGGACATTAAGGATTATTCTCAATGGACATTAAATTGCTATCTATATTTTTCCGAGACAATGATACTTCTGTTTTAGGGTAGCAACATTATAACCAAAAAAAAAAATAAATAAATAAACTGTTTTAATGAGATGTTGACTACCTGTATGTTACAAGTACACACGGATGTTACACAGCATTATGACAGTGAACCTGAATCCGGTTTTGTTATTTTTCCCCCACAGTTCCACACGTTTTAGATCAGCCTGCCCCAGCAATAAAGGGAAGTCACTCTGCCGTTTTGTGCACACGTTATTGCGCTTGTCAATTGTTGAACAATGACAGGAGTTGATATGAATGTTTGAAACTTTAAGACGCATGATTGACAAAAGAGACGCAAGGCTCACTGGTGTAATTGGAGATATTTACAGGTCTTCTGGGTAGACATTGGAACTAAAATATCCAGGTGGAGCCTTCTGTCCCCATGTCTCATTGCTGGTCTTCCTCTCACGCAAACACATCCTGAGACAAAACGGATACAGCAGTGAGACACCACTGAAATAACACTAAGACACCACTGATATGACACTCAGACATAACAGAGACACTACTGATATAACACTCAGACACCACTAATACAACACTCAGCCACCACTGATATGACACTGAGACAGCACTGATACATCACTAAGACACCACTGATATAACACTCAGACACCACTGAGACACCACTGAGACAGCACTGATACATCACTAAGACACCACTAATATGACACTCAGACATCACTAAGACACCAGTGATATGACACTCAACACTGAGACACCACTGATACAACACTGAGACACCACAGAGACACCACTGCTATGACATTCAGACACCACATAGACACCACTGATATGAAACTCTAACATCACTGACACATCACTGATATAACAATCAGACATCACTGACACACCACTGATATGACACTTAGACATCACTGAGAAATCACTGATATGACCCTAGACATCACAGAGACACTACTGATATGACACTCAGACATCACAGAGACACCACTGATATGACAATCAGACATCACAAAGAAACCCCTGATATGACACTCAGACATCACAGAGACACCACTGATATGACACTCAGACATCACAGAGACATCACTGATATGAAACTCTAACGTCACTGACACATCACTGATATGACACTCAGACATCTCAGAGACACCATTGATATGACACTCAGACATCACTGAGACATCACTAATATGACACTCTAACGTCACTAACACATCACTGATATGACACTCAGACATCTCCGAGACACCACTGATATGACACTCAGACATCACAGAGACACCATTGATATGACACTCAGACATCTCAGAGACACCACTGATATGAAACTCAGACATCACTGAGACACCACTGATATGACACTCAACACTGAGACACCACTGATATGACACTCAGACATCACTGAGAAACCACTGATATGACACTCAGACATCACTGAGACACCACTTATATGACACTCAGACATCACAGATACACCAGGGATATGACACTCAGACATCACTGAGACACCAGTGATATGACACTCAGACATCACAGAGACACCACTGATATGACACTCAGACATCAGAGACGCCACTGATATGAAACTCAGACATCACAGAGACACTACTGATATGACACTCAGACATCACTGAGACACCACTTATATGACACTCAGACATCACAGATACACCAGGGATATGACACTCAGACATGACTGAGACACCACTGATATGAAACTCAGACATGACTGAGACACCAGGGATATGACACTCAGACATCACTGAGACACCAGTGATATGACACTCAGACATCACAGAGACACCACTGATATGACACTCAGACATCAGAGACACCACTGATATGAAACTCAGACATCACAGAGACACCACTGATATGACACTCAGACATCACTGAGACACCACTTATATGACACTCAGACATCACAGATACACCAGGGATATGACACTCAGACATGACTGAGACACCACTGATATGAAACTCAGACATCACTGAGACACCACTGATATGAAACTCAGACATCACTGAGACACCACTGATATGACACTCAGAAATCACTGAGACACCACTGATATGACACTTTAACATCAATGAGGCAGCACTTAAACAACATTGAGACAGCACTCTTAGCACTGACACAACACTGTTACAAAGACTAAAGATAAGGAGAGACTGGTTTATCATATATATTTGAGTTCAATGACTCCCATCACATTAAAAAAAAACAACCTATTAATATCAGATTCATCAAAACTTGTCAAACATTTAGATGCCATCAAGTTCATCAACAGCTTCCTTAGATCTAAAATTACAGGCTGGTACTTGAGCACGCTGTTCACAAGTCATCAATATCATCTCATTCCTAACAGCATGTGAAGCATTGATTTGACATTTAGCCTTTGAGATGTATAGCAATTAATAAATTACAATGTAATAAGGCATGAATAGGATAGTTGTGATAGAAGAATGCCCAAATGTAATTAAGTGACAATTTTGTGTTCAAATATTTGTTGTCCACAAAATGTCCTCCAATGGACAGGTCAATCGTGAGGACTTTTATCTTTTAGCAAGACTTTTAAAAATAAATGAAGCTCTTTGTAAATCAGCTTTGTTAAATTAATATTTTCTACATGCCATTTAGTTGGTTGAACAGTATTTGTAGCACCCTCCCAAATAGTAGTAGTCTCCCTAATAGTGGTACCCTCCCCAATAATAGTAGCAACCTCAAAATAGTAGCACCCTCCCAAATAGTAGCACTCTCCCTAAAGTGGCACCCTCCCAAATAGTAGCACCCTCCGAAATAGTAGTACTCTCCCTAATAGTGGCACCCTCCCAAATTGTAGTACTCTCACCAAAAGTGGCACCCTCCCCAATAATAGTAGCAACCTCAAAATAGTAGCACCCTCCCAAATAGTAGTACTCTCCCTAATAGTGGCACGCTCCCTAATAGTGGCACCCTCCCAAATTGTAGACCTCTCCCCAATAGTGGCACCCTCCCCAATAATAGTAGCAACCTCAAAATAGTAGCACCCTCCCAAATAGTAGTACTCTCCCTAATAGTGGCAACCTCCCCAATAGTAGTACTCTCCCCAATAGTAGCACCCTCCCCAACAGTAGTACCCTCCCCAACAGTAGTACCCTCCCCAACAGTAGTACCCTCCCCAATAGTAGCACCGTCCCCAATTAAAACTTGGGTAAAAATAAGGTCTCAAGCTTGGTGCAGAGAGTACTGTTGTACAGGTGCTTTCATTATTTAAACATCTATTACAAACAATTGGCCCAGACTCATCAGAATTTGATTTAATCAGAATTTGTACTTTTCATTGAAAAACAGAACGCCTGCTTTTTAAAACAACCAGCCATGTCCTACTGGGTACCACTTGTTTCTCTGCATAAAATCAGTATGCCCTAATAGAGCACCACTTTGTATCAAACAAGTCATCGGGGTATCTCCTAATTATAATCTTATTGTCAAGACATAACATGTTCAATTAGGATTTTTGTTTTTTGGTTTACTGTTTTTCAGACATGTGATAAGTAAGATTGTTGCTACACACCCTGACAACCATGGTAAGTGAATATCATTGTCTACACCTCTATAGAAGGTAACACATAGGACTCACAAACAACAACACATCCATGTTCAGTGCGACACGCCAACTATCTCTTTCACGGGGACACAAGTAGAAACAAGTAAACCATAAGCATGCTCAGCGACCTAGTTGGACAGTTTTGTTTTAGTAACCTAGTTTGACACACTTTCAGTGACCTAGCTTGACAAGAGTTTCAGTGACCTAGTTTGAAAGTGACCCAGTTTCTTGCAGATTCAGCAGCCCTAGTTTCTTGCGGATTCGGTGATCTAGTTTCAGCTGTGTTTCAGTGACCCAGTTTGACAGACGACTCCCGTTTGATGGAGTCCCGTTTCTGCAGCGCTTTCTTCTCCTGCGAGAATACAAACTCTTTCCTGACCGGACTGAACTTGAGCTCCAGGATGTTGTTGACCTTCTCCACAATCTCCGTGGCCGTGCTCTGCTCAGCTTCAAAGTAGTGCTGTTTATAGTCTGTGCCGTTTAGGTACGTCATTCGGAATACAGCTCGACCTAAAGATATTGAGTGGAAAAGTTATGGGAAATCATGCTAATAAATTACCTAAAATTTAATGGATGTCTTTTCAAAAGTAGTTTTCAAACCTTTGAGTCTAAAGCTTCCCAATTGAATAGCTGAAATGGTCCCACTGGGATGAATATTTAAATCTAAATAATTTCTCAACTCTGATTTATAAATATACAATGGTCATTGTGAGCATTCCCAAAGTACTACAAGCAACCATGTCATGGTCGACCTTACATACAACTGTCATAATGAAAATTCCCAAATTACTACAAGCAACCATGTCATGGTCGACCTTACATACAGCTGTTATTATGAATATTCCCAAAGTACTACAAGCAACTATGTCATGGTCAACCTTACATTATGTTGAACATGGGAGTTCAATATTAATTGTTGCGACTGACTATTATTATTTAATATTTTCATTAAGCGCGGTGTTTGTTTGAGAGTTTTATTAGTTAGTGAACGCTCTTCCCCCACTTGACTCCGTGACTTAAATTTATGCAGATTGTGACCTATTGTCTAGACTGTATTATGACATATGTTTTATTTGTCTGGCAGTCATGAACGGAACTCTTTGGAGGTAGGATGTGTTTTAGTTTTGTCTGATAGCGAGCTGCGGTACATGCATGTGTTTATCATTAGATATTAAAGTTATAAGTATTATAAAAAGGACTTGAGTTTATTCGGTGATAGTGAGAATTGTACGATGTATTACAAAGTCTGATGGAACTTGACGAGTTGACCAATCTAGCAGAAACACGGAGTTGACACATACACCTGCCATTATGAACATTCCCAAAGTACTACAAGCAACCACGTCATGGTTGACCTTACATAAAACTAGAATTCATATTTGAACACGGGGGACAAAATTTACAGAAATATCTTACCATTACTCTTTGTCTCTGTGATGTCACAAGCAGCTACGCAATCAGCATCGTATGTGACAGCTTTCTGTCGGAATAATCGGGCTGTGCCTTTTACTGAAACTGGATCGATTTCTATCTTGTCTCCACTGATACCTGGCATGAAAAAATGGAAAAGGTAATGGATAAAATGATGTTCTTATTAATGTTTTAATGTGTTCTTCTTTGAGCAGTGATTTTATTGTAAATTCGTCATGATCATGATAATCCAGCAGCAACCCCATACAATTGACTACAGCAGCACACCATACAAACCACTACAGCAGCACCCCATACAAACCACTACAGCAGCACCCCATACAAACCACTACAGCAGCACCCCATACAAACCACTACAGCAGCACCCCATACAAACCACTACAGCAGCACCCCATACAAATCACTACAGCAGCACCCCATACAAACCACTACAGCAGCACCCCATACAAATAACTACAGCAGCACCCCATACAAACCACTACAGCAGCACCCCATACAAATAACTACAGCAGCACCCCATACAAACCACTACAGCAGCACCCCATACAAATCACTACAGCAGCACCCCATACAAATCACTACAGCAGCACCCCATACAAATCACTACAGCAGCACCCCATACAAATGAACACGGCAGAACCCCGTGTCACAAATCACCCAATAGTTCATTTTGTCTCATTTTCCCCCAGGCACTCCTCCTCTCTTGACCCACACATTTTGACATTTAAGCCAACCAACCAAATCCCACGTTTGAGCCAACCAACCACATTCCACATTTAAGCCAACCAACCAAATCCCACGTTTGAGCCAACCAACCACATTCCACATTTAAGCCAACCAACCACATCCCCTTTATAAGTCATCCCACCACAACTCACACCAAGTCTCCCCCCACCCAGCAGCTGACCCACCTAACTGGACCTCTGTATTGGTCCTCAGCTTGTGGACCATGCTGACAATGAATGACTTGTACTGGTGACTCATGAGTGACTCGGCCATCTTCTGGTCCTCCTCACCATTGGATTCAGCATCACCCCTTGAGCCTAGCAGAGATATCAAATCGAGCAAGGTTTACTCCATCATAGCTGAGCCCTATGTTTTCATGTTTCTATACGGAGATGATAGCCAAACCACATATGTTCATTATTCTGTACAGACATAATAGCCAACCTGCATGTTTTCATTATTCTATACGGACATAATAGCCAACTCGCATGTTTTCATTATTCTATACGGACATAATAACCAACCCGCATGTTTTCATTATTCTATACGGACATAATAGCCAACCCGCATGTTTTCATTATTCTATACGGACATAATAGCCAACCCGCATGTTTTCATTATTCTATACGGACATAATAGCCAACCCGCATGTTTTCATTATTCTATACGGACATAATAGCCAACCTGCATGTTTTCATTATTCTATACGGACATAATAGCCAACCTGCATGTTTTCATTATTCTATGTAGAAATTGTTCATTTTCCTAAGGAAATATTTGTTAAAAAAAAAACAAAAAAAAAAAACAACAACCTGTCCTGTTATCTTAATGGGATAATGTTTCATCAAATAAAATATTACTAAAACATCGTCACATCTTTTGTTACCTAACACCTCACCTCGACTAGTAAAAAAAAAATCATAAAATTTCTTACTGTTCTCTCTAATGAGGTAGAATTCCAAGCAGTTCATAGATCCCAGCATGGCGTCCAGGTCAACCGGCTTCCCGATTTCACTTTTACCAGTTTTTTCTAATGTGTAGTTTAGACCTGATGGGTTTACAAGTGGCCTGTGTCAAACATGGATCTCTTTTTTTTTTTTTTTTTTAAAGCAAAAAAATTAGAGCAAAAATTCCTGCTAGCTGGACAAACTAGGTCTACTTGGAAAGTGAGCAAAAAAGGGGAAGAAAGTCTTGAAGGGACTTGTAAAGGAATCGGCTTCCCGATTTCACTTTTACCAGTTTTTTCTAATGTGTAGTTTAGACCTGATGGGTTTACAAGTGGCCTGTGTCAAACATGGATCTCTTTTTTTTTTTTTTTTTAAAGCAATAAAATTAGAGCAATAATTCCTGCTAGCTGGACAAACTAGGTCTACTTGGAAAGTGAGCAAGAAAGGTGAAGAAAGTCTTGAAGGGACTTGTAAAGGTAAGAGACAGGAGGGCATAATAGTCAATGGTATAAGCTACATTAGGGGTGCCACAAAAAACACACCACAAAAATATTTCTTATAAAAATTAATGTCTATTAAAACTTAATATTCTGCCTCAGCAATGATTAAAAACAAAAACTTTGTTGAATATTACTGAACATTAAAACTTAATATTACGCCTCAGCAATGAGCGTAAAAGTATATAAAATATAAAATAATGAAGCACTTCTAAGCACATGCAATGGCCCTTACCCTATCAAAACAACTGGGCCAAGGCTGCAAAGCAGACAGCAAGCTCTTCTTTTAAGCAGTTAAAGTAAAAAAGTTTAGAAAAGGAAAAAAAAAATCATGACAACTTAAAAGTACCTACAGTCATCTTGTTGCCTTGAGTTTACTACAGTGCAGATTCAAAAGGTGGGGAAAAGCATCAGAGGCAAATGTTACAGTAAATCAAAATTTGTGACAGAAGTTTGGCTGGTGATGTGCCCAAGAGCTTGTTAAAGTATTGCATAATGATCCATAGTGGTGGGATTAAGTATAATGGCTTAGCTTGCTTCTTTTTTTTACTATATGCTAAATCTATTTCTTCATTTTGGTATGGAATTGCAGAAGTCCCTGAATTTAAAAATTAACCTAACCTTATTATTTAAAAGGGTAGTGAAATTTAGTGGTGTTGTGATGGCAAAGTAAGGGACTTTACACTAACTGAATGTGTGCTGCGTGTGACATTACTTCCCCTTACCTGGCCTCAGTTTGATCTTCCTCTTCTTGATGACTTTGTCCATGAGTTCTCTCATTGTCACAGTCATGGAGTCCACTTGGAATTTGTTGAAGCCTCTGTTAGGGACATTGCTGGGACGGAAGTAAAAGAGAAATGATAAACTTGGAACTTAGGGGAGATTTTAAACAAGGAATGTGACTCAGCGATTTTAGAGAATACGTTTGCCTATGATCTCGCTTACTTAGATGCGGTATGAGAAAACTAACAATGGAGCTTGATGCAATTTTTTTTTAACTTTCCTTTTGATAAACTCTCTGAGATCTTCTATGTTATCAAGATGTCATATCATATGTCATATCATATGTCATATCATATGTCATATCATATGTCATATCATATGTCATATCATATGTCATATCATATGTCATATCATATGTCATATCATATGTCATATCATATGTCATACCATATGTCATATCATATGTCATATCATATGTCATATCATATGTCATATCATAGCTAGGCTGAAACCAAAACCCCTTCATTTAAAAAAAAATTAATGAAAATTATGGGTGTTATGTTGAAACACACTGCAACTTAAGGTTAAACAAGACATACATGGTGACTAGGGCTGACTTTGGTTGAACGGGGGCGTTGGCGACAAGGGCAAACTTTGTGAATCCATATTTGGACACTGGGTCGGTGGGAATGATCGGAGGAAAGTCAGTATCGATTTCTCCATCGTCCTCTGCCATGTGCAGGGAAAATTTATTCACAAAATCGCTGGGGATGAAATCATTGTTTTGTTTGATTACAAAGTAATTATTTATATTCCATAATTTATTGTTGTAATTAGAAGCATATTATATACATTCAAAAATAATTTAATTAGGTATTTTTTCATATAAATTGTAGCAATATTTAAAAGTAGTATTTAAAAGTAATATTTAAAAGCTCCTAGGAAATCCTTAAAAGAATAACTATTATAAAGTTTAACAACCTTTTCCTGTAACTTGTAACATTAAATTACAAAAATTTAAAAAAAAAACTTGAAGTCTGGTTAATTTTATATTTCAACAACTAAAATATATATTTTGGGCTAATTTACACTAAAAATGTACTTGTCCTGCTTTGAAGAATTTTTAAAAACTTAAAAGTAAATAAATTAATTTCTAGAAAACTTTAATTAAAATACAGGAACTTCACTCTTAAAAGAAAAAGTAAATATGGGTTATTATAGAACAAGAAACATGTAAGATGGTGCCACTCATCCTTATTCTCTGTATGCTAAAAACAGTAACACAAAACTTTCTGGGCTAAACCCTGTAATATACCAAGACAGAATCGGTGGCCTAATGTGCAATTTTTGGCTGGCCTGGTGTGCAATGGTTGGCTGGCCTGGTGTGCAATGGTTGGGTGGCCTGGTGTGCAATGGTTGGGTGGCGTGGTGTGCAATGGTTGGGTGGCGTGGTGTGCAATGGTTGGGTGGCCTGGTGTGCAATGGTTGGGGGGTCTGGTGTGCATTGGTTGGGTGGTTGGTGTGGAATGGTTGGGGGGCCTGGTGTGCAATGGTTGGGTGGCGTGGTGTGCAATGGTTGGATGGCGTGGTGTGCAATGGTTGGATGGCCTGGTGTGCAATGGTTGGGTGGCCTGGTGTGCAATGGTTGGGTGGCCTGGTGTGCAATGGTTGTGTGGCCTGGTGCACAATGGTTGGGCAGCCTGGTGCGCATGGGTAGGGATTGCTGCCTCACAAGACAAGAGGTAGCAGGTTATGATTCATCTATGGCTGTTCCCAGCTTTAGATGGAATGTAAGACAGATATTCTTGGGAAGGTATAATCCTTAAGTACAAACACAAACAAAACTTGTGACATAAACTAGTGTGCACATTGACCAGGGCAGAAATAGTTTTCTGGATTAAAAGTGTTGGGCAATTATGAAAGAAAAAAAATAACACCAAGTTAAAAAGCTGAAAGAAAAAATTACACTAAGTTAACAAGGCTGTAGTGCAATCAGATTTTTCTGGTTACCTATACTAAAGTGGGATGAGGGTAAAACAAACAATGACAGTCAGCTGGGCTTACTTGGGGTCAATGTGTCCCGCCACTGACTGCAGGTCTGGCTTCCTCTCCTCCTCTGTGTACTGCCAGCAGATGAGACCAACCACCTCTTGAGCCTTGGCATGGGCGGTGACTAGAATGGACATAGGATACCCTCGATGTTCAGGTGGAGCAAAGGCAAGGAAAATCTCCAGCTTCCTGGTCGGAAGTCCACCAGCTGTCTGTAAATAATAATTGATGGAACAGAACATTTTTTTAAAAAAGCATTGTTCACTCTGAAAGAAAATGGACTGAACTGCACATAATGTTATTCAATTAAAACATACCAAAAATGACGATACAAGGGATATGTTCTTATTGTTTTTTGAAAACTTAGATCACAAGTGTGTCAAAAGCTCAACAATAATAAATGAACAGCCAAGAGACTGACCCTTCCATCAAACTTGGCATATTTGAAGAAAGGATTGCTGCCATGTGAGTCAAGCTCTTCCAGCTGCTGGGACAGTATGGACACTCCCTTGGCTTTCTTTGATGGTGATGACGACGCTGATGTCACTTCTAGCACTGGAGGAACTGGCACATTTTGAAAAGTAGTTGTACTTATATTTTGATCTGGAATGTTGGAGCCTGTGTTGGGCAGTTCTGGGAGATTTCTTTTTTCAAACAGATGACCCTTTTCCTCAGCTGAAAATATTTTAATGATTTGAAAATTCCAACTGGGGTATATGCAATAATGATATAAGGGTATAGTAGAAATTTCAACATCCCCATATAACCAATTTTAAAATATATAAGACGACCACCGGTGTGTACCCACTTATTTATAACTAGAAAAAACAAAATGAAAATTCCAAAGTGGTAATAAATTTTAAACATAACATTTTTTTTCAAAATAAAATAAATAATCCAGCATTTATGTCTTCCTTTCCAAAACATAAATAAGTTAATATTTATTTCCACTGCATAAAGGTTTAGCAACACTTTTATAAAAAATGTATTCAAGTCTGGATACTTATATTAAAAAAAATAATAAAATGGTAGTGAAAACTTTCTTTATAAATATACAGTCTAGTTTTGCTGGTTACAGGAAATAGTTTTATAAAATTAAAACGATGCATCTCAAGATAAAAGCACACCAAACATCATCATGCATGGAGTATCCACTGGTCACCTTTGTATGTCTCTGGTGCATCTTTCCACTGTATTGTTTTCATCTTGCTCTGTGTCCTCTTCTCCTTTTTCAGACGTTCCAGTCTCTGTGCTGTATTTGATCTACGTCTGTGAGCTCCTGATAAAATTAATCAATGTAACAATGCATCCATGTTTTAAAAATTTGAGCCCTTAAATTCCCTTTCGGGTGCCAGATGACATTTTTAAAATCATTAATAAATTTACCTAATTTTATATGATAGATTTATCAAATTGGTTGGAACCTCACTGATAGTAGCCTCTATCTTATTTAACATTATTTACTCATTCAGAGGCAAGATAAAATTGACTAATTTTTCATCTTAATAAATCCCTTTGTTTAGCAGTAATGGGTATCAGAGGTCATTTTGTAGTGTAAAATATAATTTTTTTTTTCAATATTTATTATAAGCACTTGTGTCTCACAAGTCATTTTGAAAAAAACAAACTAATCTGAGTCCAATAAAATGAGTTAAAATAAGTTAAAATCAAGCAATTAAATTTTAAATCAAGTTTGCGAATTAAAGCTATTTTTCTCATAAAAATATTTAAATTATATAGAAAGTAAAAACTGCTGGATTGTATAAATTTAAAGACTTGATACAAATATTAATAAAATTAATGAGATTACTGCTTTGTACAGAACTTTTCACTGTTGTAAAGTGTCTAGCAGGGTCAGTGAACATGGTTTGGTATTGAAAAATATTGGGCATATTTGGAATAATCAACACTCTAAATGTTACTTGTTTTAGATGGATTAACACGGATGAAATATAATTCTAACCAAAGTCCATATCAGGATGAATATCCATCGATCCTTTAATCTCATTATCAGAAGGGCAGTCACTCATACTGTCGCTGCGGATATTCATGTTATTCCTGTTGTACCTGTAGAAATAAATTCATCCGTCTTCAGCATATAGGTGATTCAAAATAGTATTCTTTTTTTTTACTTGGTTTGAATGTACCTCTAAATAGTAAAAGTAATTTAAAAATCAGGATTCAAAACAATAAGTAACAATAAGGGTTTTTAGAAAAAACAAATCCAAAATGATGATTTTAATATTGCCACTGTCATTTTTGTCACTTTAATTTAATATTCTTTTTTTTCTATGACTGGGTGTTTTACAAATAAATTCATTATTAAAATTTGAAATATAATTTAAGAAACTTTAAAAGAAACTGCACCAGCTTACCGAGGATTGCTATCACGCTTGAGCTCAGTCTCATCCTGGGCACGGCATTCTGTGATGACCCATTCTGACATGCTGGTGTCATCACTCGTTACAAAGGCATTGCGTATATGACTAATGAGAAAGTCAACATTGTCCATCATAGCCATGATGAAGGATTAATAATAAACAGTTGTACCACTAGATTATTTTTCTGTGTTATGGAACGGACATCATCCTATAAATCCATAAGAAAGTGGCTAATTTAAAATGATGGTATTCCTGCTTCATAAGACTTAATTCCTGTCTGGCTCAGGGTTCCTTCGCTCTAGTCTCCTGCATCGTAAACAAAAAACAAGTTAATTAATTTTGCCCGTAACAATTTAACATGCATTTCTCATATTAATTAAATTATTTTGAAAGGTTGGAATTATGTCAACGTAGACTTTTTATATTTACAGTATAACAAAAGTGAAGCTCAATGTCACATAGTGTTGCAGAAAGATTTACTTTTCATGACTGTGATGGAGAACAACCTTTTGGTAAATTTACAATATCCAACTCCTACTATTTACAGCATATGTGCAGTACTTTTTTAAGATGGCCACCATCTTCGTTGCCATGACAGCAGACAAAGATGACAGCCATATCAAATATAGTAGTGCAAAAACACGCCTGCTAAAATAGGGAGGGGAAATGGAGATTATGTTTTGTTTTAGCTACCGTACTTACCAAAGCAAATGAAAATAAGGAAATTGATAAAAATTGGTTATTTTTAAAAAAGCATTTTTTGAAACTTGCGGTGCATAAAAATTATAATTTAACATTAAATTTAATGATGAATGGCAAAAAGTTAAAAATCAACACATTTCAACAAAAAAAACTATAAAAAAATCATGCAAATTCAATTAAAAATTGAGGAACATGATAAGTTTAGGCTTCAAATGGAAAGACAGGACAATCAAAAGAACGTTTAAAATAGAATAGTTACTATTACTATCAATGTAATTGAGATCAAACGGATGACACCCGACACTGGTACTAGATAAACTAGAGGGACTCCTTAGAACGGCGGTCCCAAATTAGAAATAGAATATTTTTCGTTAGAAATTAATTTGTGACGTTATTTTTTACTTCAAATCTTGTTAGCAGACTAATTTTTGCTTGTAATAATATTAAAATAAACAATACCATGGCCGGCAGACAACAAGCGCCAGTTCATATTTCAAATACTGTTTTGTCAGGAAATATTCTACAAACTTATGACACTTAAGGCACTTAATGCTTTGGTTAGTGTGGTTTCAGGGCTGGCCCGATGGTTGCTGGCACCCTGAGCAAGCTTAATTTGATGCCACTTTAAGTATAATCATTAATGGAAAAACTAGTTATTCAGTAATGAGTTTATTACCTATGTTATTTTTTTCAAACAAACAATGAACAATAAAGTCGTTTTTGTTAACTTGTATCAGCATATCTTTTTTATTGCCCTTTCTATTTTTCTTCCATGGTGCCCACATGCAATGCTTTTTCCTAATTTCGAAGATCATTGATGGTGCCCTAAGCAAACGCTGTGTACAAAAAGTTAGAATACAGTTTCTCGACCCTGGACCCAAGGTTCACACATCACTATAAATACTATAATAAAGTAAGGGAATTTAAATTTTTAGTTGGCGCCCTTATGGCCAAGACGCCCTGTGTGAGGGGACAGGTCACACACCCTGAAGGCCAGCATTGGTAGTTTGCTGAACACCGTGCCGTATAATATAAAACAGTAATTTAACAGTAACAGAGATAAATTTTGTTTCTCACATTTTTTTTTCTTTTTTCCAATTTTAAAAAAAAAAAAAAAAATTTTTTTATTTCAGGAGATTATGATAGTGAAGAGCCTGATGAAGATCGCGATATTAAAAAAATGAATACATGTAAGTCACCAAATATAAGTCACATAAGTGGCTTTTAGGCTGGAAGCCAGACGATTTTTAATGAATAGTATTAGTATTATATTTATTATTTATAATTTGGGACCGCCGTTCTGAGGAGTGCCAAACTAGATTAGATGCCTTCTTCATCAGTCCGCAGGCTGGTGACAAAATTAAATAAAACGAGACTATTAAAATTAAGACCATTACTATTATTATTATTACTAATGTTATTAACTGATTTGTTATTCATCAATCTATTCTCAAACTCAAAGTTTGAGTCAAACTACTTCCTTCTTCGCCTTCAGTTCTTGAGCTAGATTAATAAAACTAAGTGTAGTGAAGTTTTCAAAAATCAAGTCATTATCATTGATTACCTTGATCATTTATTATATATTTATTTAATTTTAATTCATGATTCATTGAACAATCACTTTGTTATTGTTGTTTGAATCGCAATTCAATTAAATAAAATCATATCGTCTCCAAGTGACAAGTCATAGATCTAGAGTAGAGTGTGTGAATTCTGTAACTGTAGACTTATATAATGAATAATAGTTGAGCTACTTATCATTGATTTTCATACGAATCATGTTCATTTTTTTTTAATATAGTCACTTAAATTAAAATTAAACAAAATTTCTTTACGACCTACGGTTACAGATGAAAAAAAACTCGAGCTCTCGCTTGATAGAAATTACAATTTTCTAGAAACAAATACCTTTAGTTTTTATTTAAAAGAGCTACAAATAATAACTTCAAACTCGGTTTACATTTACACATAAATTATTGAACTTTAAATTTAAGCTGTTTATTCATTTTTTTTTTTTTTGAAACAATGTAAAGCAACATTAAATAAATGTAATATAGCAAATCATGGATCTTTATTTTTTTGTTTGTTTCTTTTTAAAAGAATATTTTCAAAGTTTGAACATTTAAACCAAAAAAATTAAAAAAATATTTACAAAAAAATAATAATAATAAAACTTTAAACTTTGATCTAAATAAAAAAGAAAGTTTAGTTACCGTACAACATTTGTTATTGGTGGATCTAAGTCTAGGCAATCTAGCATTTGTCTAGCTGGATTTTTCTTTTGAAAATCTTTTTAAATTATTTCTTTTAAAAAATTGCGAGGAGGGTGAGGTTCTAGATTGAAATAAGGACCCCTTTAAATTATTATATTTTCATTGTCGTCAGGAGAAAAGATCCCTTACTTAAATATAACGGAGTGGCTATAGGTACCTGGAGCAGCAAATATATATTCGGACCCGGCTGGTCACGTGAGGGTTTTATAATTATTTGGTTGGTCACGTGACGGTTATCACGGATATTTCCTGTTGGTTTGCCATTACTAACAATGTGACGTACAGCAAGTAAGAATACGTTTATGTTTATAATTTTATTGTATTTTTTAATTCTATTTTAAATAAAGTTCTATAGGTAATCTACCACTTGAGCGTCGGCCAAGAAAAAATCCAGCACCCACGTCTTTTCAATTTTGCTCGAATAAGCCACATTCTTTGTGCACTGTAAAATAGCACTTTTTAAACAATCTAATTATCGATTTTTGAAACCTTATACTTATTATACTTATACAAGAAGACATACCTCATTAACTTCACTTGAATCTATCAAAACAATATTTAATTGATACAGCATAGACGCTGCACAAAACCAACTGCTACTTTAATAAGAACAGAGTACCAAGTAGGTTCAGGTTGGAGAACTAGTGAAAAATACCAACTTAATTATAAATGGCTTGCATTAACTTTCATTAAGTCATTAAATTAAGTCCATTAATTTTTAACACTTCAGGTTGCAGCAGGACACAGTCTGGGAGCCTCTGTCCTAGTCAATTACATGCCATAATAAACACTATCTTTACATTTTCTCTTAACACCTAGCATCATCCTAATCCCCCTTCCAATAATAAATATTAGTATCTTGATCCTTTGAATGCACTTTATATAAAGATAAATCCCGCAAGTGCATGTAAAAAATATCAAAAGACTGTATTGGAAATGGTTAGTTTCACTGATTAGGTTAGGGCAAAGTCTTGCGCATTCCTAATTTAGTTAAAATTAGATAAAAATTCCTAAAAAATCTAAATTTCCTTCTGACATATTGAGTGCATTTTTGCTGTAAAAGAAATGATTGACAAATTCAAAAGAGCTATTTAAAATTTAGATGGATTGCTTCGTATATTTAGATTCATCAGTCGCTATAGCATATATTTTTTGGTTAAAATCATAGTAGTAATAATCAAAAGTGACATCTTGCAGGTTAGAATTATATTACCATTGATCTATGACAAAAAAATCTTATTTAAATTTTTAAAGATTCACTACTGTAATGCAGTTGTAGTTAAAATCTTGCACTGAGTTTGACGTGACCATTTTGAAGGTTTTCTTTTGTTCATTTAACACCACCTCCCTAATTCCAATAGTGTTTGGACTTTAACTATTTAATAGATTAAATAAACAAAGCTATTCAACTTTCCCTTAGAGAACCAGGGATTTTTTGTCGAAACACCCATGCAAACATGGCTGGTGTAAAAGCAATGATTACACCAAGTGTGTGATTAATTTTTTTGGTACTTTTTATGATGGTAACTTTCAGGTTAAAATTGTTCATAAGATATTGTCTTCATATTAAATGCAAGCTTGCACTCTAATATAATAAAGTTTCTGTCTTCTACTAATTAATGTATTATTTTACTTCCAGGTTAAAGTTGTTGTTTTCACAGAGATCACTTGAAGACCCCCATCACTGCCAGAATTCACAGCTGCTCTTATGATGAATATGATGAATGTGCAGGAGGAATCATGACATGCCAGGACAATGACTGGTCAACATTTTACTTCAGGTAAATCCAGTCCTTTTTATTCTATTTATTTTTCATTACCTATGCCACTAATTTAAAAAAAAATATTTTTGGTTTTATTTTTTCACATTTTAACTTGATGCTTGATTTGTCACACTGGGTAATAATCTTGAGGTAACTTGCCATTATTGGGATCTTGGAAATTTATTCCCAATGGATCATAAGCCAAACACAATCTTAGTTTTGGCCAGGAAAACCCTGAAAAGTGTGTAATCTGCTTATTAGTGTACTCTCTCAGTTTTGGCTGGGAAATTATTTTAAAGGTTTTCTCCGAAACCTTAAAAATAATTGCTTATTAAAAAGACTTAAAACTATTAAACATTCAGTATTATGTATAACAGCGACTAACTTCACTTTTCTACATATATATACCGTAACCACACCGAACAGAATCAGTCATATGCTCACACACAGACACAATCTTATTGTTTTCTATAATAGAATCAATGTACCTGGTCCAAACCTCCTGTGGTAGACTCAAAGGCCCACTTATACCATTGAAATATTTTTTGTGTAAATAGGCCTTTGAATAGGGATCTACAGTACATGCTGAATTTTGATTTATAGCCATGTCTAGACTTAATTATGTGTTGATCATTCTTAAACATCATCCAAAAATTCAAATTAAATAATTATAATAATAAGTATGCCGCTAAATGGGAGAAATAGAGATAGATAAACAGATCAATTTGTTAATGCTGATCATTAGTAGGGCCCTGGCCTGTTTCACCACATCCTTCCATTCAGACATCATCATAGGTGCTACAGCCCATCATAGGGGCCTGGTCTGCTCTACAACATCCTCCCTTTTAAGCTGATCCATGACTTTACACTTCCAGGTGATTTTAGTCATTTACAACTCAATCCATATCAGTCTTCGTCGACGGTTGAGCCGTTAACCCCTAGGCCTCTGTCTGTAGATCACTTTTGCTGCTCTACAATCTAATATCCTCTCAAGGTTTCTTGCCCAAAGCAGCCTGCACATTTAAATTGCAGCAACTACGGATGCTTAGGTACTGAAAATGTTCATTAGGAAATTGCATCAGCGAGCTGTCGAGCTAGTACATTAGCTCTTTATGCCCTCCCCAAAGCACATACACCCTCACTCCCCAAGCCTGAGTTATCGGGCAGGGTAGCGGAATGTTGGAGACTTCCCTTTGCCAGGACAGCCCCAGCCCGCACTCACTCCATTGACTACCAGTGGAGGTCACCCCAGCACAAGGACATCCGGTAGGCCGGTGACGCTTCTCTCAAAGCATCAGGAGTCGGGATGGTGTATTTCATCCTAAAATCTTACTCTGCCCATCCCTGGGAATGCCCGACGCCGTCAGATACAGATTTCTACAGTGGGTTTCTACCTTGAAACTAATTTATGAAGCAGCTGGGACGAAACGGTTGCCTAGGTACAACTACCTTAACTGCTATCTAAATAGAACCATTGGCATGAGTTGCCACTACCCACCTCATGCCTCGTATCCTTAAAGGGCAACATGTAATCATGCTCCCTACCCTGTTTCTGACGTTTTATTTCCAGCTGTAGATTTTCCACAGCTGGTAGCCCTTTAAGTGCTTCCATTTTCGGCAGATACTATGCACGCTCTTTGTCTGCCAGCACAGGCTCACGCAATAATGGTGGTTTTGGTCCCAGTCTAGCGCTAGGGGGCAGCACCTCTTTAGCCAGCAAGCCACTACAAACTTGTCAACCAGAGCCCGAGGGGATATATATACCCATCCATCATTATCTAACACTGGACTGTATATTTTTCTGAGGATTTTCCAGGCATTGAACAGGTAAAGTTGTGTATAGGGCCATCATAGTTTTCCTTGAGAGATTTCTGCTTCCTAGTTTTAGCTCGTGTAGGCCGAAATAAGAAGAATGGCCTGCTTTTATCCTTTCTTTCATCTCTGTCATTATTTCATCTGTCTCTCTCGCTCACTCACTCTCTCTCTGGTGTGCTTGTTTACTTTGATTTTGTCACCTGTGTGTCTGATACGTGACTAACATACACTTTGTATTCGCTTCATTTACCTTCAGAGGTAAGTCTTCTAATTCATGGAATGCTTAAATTATATCAATGCTTCTTCTCCCCGGTAAAGCTATGTTGTCTGCATATGCCAGGTACTGCACTGGTGGGGCTTTTTAAAGTTGGTTGGTGTCCTGATGGTTGAGATTCTGTTACGTTGTTTGTGATAGTTCATCCTGTGCTCACATGTATGTTTCTCTGGAAGTTGTTTGTGATAGTTCATTTGGTGCACACATGCATGTTTCTCATAACGCTTTCTAAAGGGATGTTAAATAGGATACATGCCAATGAGTGTCCTGGACTCAGTGGTCCTGTTTAATATGAAAGTTACTCTTCCTGTACTTTGATTCTTTTTTGGAGGTAGCCATCGTCATGTATAAACCAGGTAAGTTTATTAGAAACTCCAAGTTTCTATAGTGCACTTTGCAGATATTTCCTGTCTAAGCTGTTGTGTAGTCCACATATAGTTGGTGTATGGGTATGTTTTTAGCATTTCTTCTGGAGACATCTGGTGGTCAAAATATGATCTGTGGTGGGTCTATTCTGTCTGAATTCAAATTGGTAGTCACCTAGAATATGTTCAGTAAACCTTTTCAGTTTTCTTGCTATTAATTTGTTGATGATTTTGTAGGTTACATTAATTAGGAAGATTCCCTTGTAATTTGAGCATTCCAGTTTAGATCCTCTCATGTGAATTGAGCGCAGTACCCCTTTTTATTTGACATTTCTCTTCTTCCTGCCAAA